AAAGTTCTGGAAAATCTTTGATAAATGTAAGAATAATTACGATTAGTTTATTATGGACTAAAATTATTCCAGCTGATTAATACCATAGTCTTTGATTCATTCCTTTATAGATTACATATGCAATAAAATTTCCCAACAACTTAAAAATAAATTCTCATCCAGTTTGTATGTGACTGAATAATTTCAGTTTCAATTGGAAACTGGAAGTGACGCATAAATTACACTTTTAGAATAGAAAAGAAAATCAAGTATCTCAAAAACAGCAACGGTTACTCCACATGGATTTGCATGGGTTTGTCCGCGTATCTTTGCGGATTGTGTCACGAATGAACGCGCCAAAATGGAGATGTCTTTTGACTTCTATTCTTGTAGATTGTTTTGCATATTAAATGGAAAAACTACTTAAATGGCTGCAAATTCGCTGCTGTTAAAATAAAGATTTATTACCATTGCCATTACCACTGCCGTCCTCAGTTTTCCTATATAACTCGGTCGCATCTATTTTTCAAGCCAATTTTAATAAAAATTTCTACCGCGTAGCACTTAAAAATGTTTTTTTTTGTTGTGTTAATAATTTTACACTCACTTGCATTTTTTCACAATTTTTTGGATTTGATTTGGATTGAAGGAAGAAGGATTGAAGAAATTTATAAGATGAATTTTGTTGTATGATTGCCAAGAAGTTGCTAAATTGCATGAACTTGAAGTATTTAATGCATTGCATAGAAATTATTTAAGAAAATAGAAAGTGAGAAGGCTATTGAACTTGAAATTGTTAAAATGGCTTTGAATAATGTTTACTGATATATTTATAATATATTAAAAAGTTAATAGTTTTTGCAATATTTATGAAAAATTAAAATTATTTTTCTCAATGTATTTTTTTCGAAACTTTTATGTTGTTGTTTTTTTTTGTACTTAAGCCAAAAATAGACAATTGGTTATGTCATACTCCATTTCTGAGGTGTTGGCTCCTACATGAAATTACTTGCAAACTTTTACCAAAAAAAAAGTTATATATATCCAAAAATAAAATTGGACAACTTTCCAAAAATGTATTATTTGACAACTCTAAATTGAAAAATTTTGACTTACCACTTTATATTATTGAAATGGTATATTCACTAAAATTTTTGGCTCAAAACTACAGTCAGCTTTGAGTCAGTCAATATGTTCAAAAAGATTTGTTTATTTAAAAATTTAATTTTGCAGCTATAAACTATAAAATTAAGGAAATTAAATGTTTACCTCTCATTACTTCGATATTACGAAGCGAAGAAATCAAAATTGGCAATATATAGCTCTCGGCTCTGGCGCGTTTACATGAAATTCTAGGTTATAGTGGTGGATTTGCTACAAAAATACAGCAACAAAACCAAAAAATTTATTTTAAACACAAATTAAACCAAAATTATTTAAAAAATAAATAAAAAAGATTAGAATAACGGTATTAACATAAAAGATAAAAAAAAAAATGCACAAGAAATGCAATTGCGTTGCAATACCTCAACGGAAGATTAAAACATCCACCCAATTCTCAAATATTGGCACAACGAACTCACGTTTGACACCGATCCAATGTGTGGCAATAAATCGCAATCTTTGCAACGCGCCCAGACGACACATCTTTACTGTCGTTCCCTGGAGAAGGACGCGTCGATAGACGTACGTCAACGTGGCTTTAATTCGTGTCTGCGTGGCGAACGCGATGAATTTTTGGACTATCGTGATGTCGGTCCACAACAGCTACAAATCGAGCCACCACTACCGTACATGGAGTCATCGCACAATGGAAGCTTTAGCGGTAACGAAGCTGGTGGCAGGAGTAAGTTGTTATTATTAATGAACTTATATATAAATACATTGCACTTAAATACTTATAGTACATTTCAATTTATTTTTAAATGTTAATTAAATTTAAATAAAATATTTAAAGGAATATTTAATCAAATAATTGATATTGCTATATTATTAAAGATAATTCCAATAATATGAAAGTCGATGCTATTCAATTATAAAATAATTACAATGATTATAGTTTTTTAATGGCTATGATTATCATAATAGATAATAAAAATATAATTTATATTATTTATTAAATAATTTATATTTATATGGTAGATATTTAAATATTAGTTTATATAAACGATTTTACTTGTCTACAAGTTTTTATTAATATATTCTATTATTTATATATATTATATTATTTAATATAAAATTTTTGAATTTATTTATCGACCTGTCATCATTAGGTTCGCGATCTAACATAAATTAATATTACTAAAGCTATATCTACGTCATCCTCTTTATTCTATTGTCTATGTTGCACAATATTGCAATCATCGTCATCAGAATTATGATCCTACACATAAATCAATTTATGTTAGATCGTGATCCCGATAGTGACTCTCAAGACGAGTCGAAATATAGAATATAATAAAAAATATTAAGCAAACATTGAATTAACCAAAAAAAAGTGACCTATAGCCGGATTAAAAAATATATAAAAACCATTATATTATTGAGTATTATATTATTTATATATTAATATATCAATTATACATCAATTGGCAGTATGACAGTCTGAACATTTTTTAAATGAGTTTCGGTAGTAGATAGAGAGCGCTATACTAACCTTTCCCAGATATCTTGCAGCGCTTAATCCGATACTAGGTGTTAATACTAGATTCTAATTAACCTTAAATGATACAATGAATCTTCAACATTTTTCTTTCTATACGATTTTTCTTTTATTGGGTCCCGAATATCAACATATTTTATTGAAAAAATAAATAATATTGTAATTAATTAACTTCATGGACGAAATCCAAAACATGGTACAACATAAACAAGTGGAACTATAATAACGCAAGAAGCTTTACTGGAAACAATTGGTAGTCGAAGGTGCGAACTTCGTGCCAAGTTTAAGGGTACTATAATGGGTTATATTAGTCTCCAAGTGTAAACGTTGATAATTGTAACAACAAGCTAACTTATATGGTTAATTTAAAGTCTAAACATAGGCTTATAAAGTTTTTAGTACTCTCATTTTTCTGGAGAAAGTTTGAAAAAGACCTTACCTCAGCAAACAATTAATCATGTTAACTCAGGTTAACTCCGATAAGTTAATATGAGAAACGTACGCTGCAGACGTTCGTTGACAATATGTCTCTGTAGGTGAAAGACTGACGAATCAAACCAAATGAAGTCCACATTTACTACCAAACAATATAGCTACCCGCCTATCTCATTAAATTATGCACAATTATTCCAAGCTGTAAAGACAAATATTAAACATTTTAGAGTAATCTAACATTTTCTTAGTCGTTTAAGTAGATATTAATATTTTTCACAAATACATACATATATCGAATCAAATCAAAGTTTATCTGTCAAATCACATAAAACAGCTGTTAATTTCAGGGTAATCTTGTATCTAGAGTATAGTAAATTAATCTCGAGTGTTATACATTTTGCCCTAGATTTATTTATCGAAAGTGCTATTAAGTTACCTATCGGTGCTTTAAAACTTCTCTTAAATATCATACTTTTAAAGAAATTTATTATATCTAACTAATCGATTGTAAATAATATACAAAATATAAAATATAAATTTTTTTATTGTGAAATTTTAATATAATTCCAAAAAGTAGTCAATTATTATATTGGGTTTTCACATACACTTAGCATGATGAAATCTTATCATTTTGTCTTATTGCTAAACTATTTCAAATTCTCATTATGAAAAGGAATTAAAATGATTGATAGATGTCTTGACAAAGCACTTAAGACAATATTGCCCATCATATACCATATCAAAAAAAAAATACCATACTAGAAATACTAGAAAAAAATGTAAGACTTCACTTAAAGAGCTTTAAACTATCAGTTTTCATATGAAAATAAAATGAAAACATGCATAAACACAAAATAAATATCTTTTGAATTTAATGAAAGGGGAGAAGACATCAATGATGTTTAATTCAATTCTAATTCCAATTTCAATTGAAACGCAAATTCCCCATACAATGGAATATTCTTATTTTTGTTTACTCAACATCGAATTGAATGAAAATTAAAAATTATTATTTCGTTGGTAAATTTGTAGGAAATATATTGTTTGAACATTCAGCAACTGTTGTCATCGCCATCCGCCAACTGAACACAATCTGCCACTAACAGAAAATACCAAAAAAGTATCTTGCCGTCTGGCACGGACAGCAGATTTTTATGTAAATAATTAAAAATTCTGCTTGGCCCATGAGTCATCGCAACATTTGGTTGCAATTTCGACCCACTCCTAACAGAAATACGTTTTGCAAAATTTTTATATGTTTCAATATTAAAAATACGCATTTTATAGTTTGGATATTTAAGTGTTTTTTTTTTGTGTTTCTAAAATAATAAAATATTTTTATGTTGATATAACTTAACCATGAACTTTATTTGAAACTATAAACCAAAGATAACTGTGAAGTGTTTATATGACATAATTTTGTCACTTCAAGTAAGTTTTATTGATTTCACATATGGAAAGTTTGGTTAATATCATATAAAGACAAGATTCCTTTTTAGTTTTTTATATCATAATAAATATTTTATGAGTTAGATGACGTCATTGTTATTGAAATATATAATTAAGTCATACTAAATTGAATCATTTGCAAAATTAAGTGATTAATTATTAATTGCGTTATCGAATCTCAGAATGGTTACAGGCTCCTCGGGAAGGTATGCAGATCTGAGGTCAATTAATGCTTAGTCTTATGAAGTGAAAAGCAATAATCCAGTCAAGGCGTAAAGAGGAGTTTTGAAGATACCTCGAGTTAACAAAGAGTAAAACTGCTCGAATGCACTGGTTCAAATAGCTTCAACATAATTAATGTCTATCAACGAAAGTGAAAAAAATGCTATACGAGGGACATTACATATATTTCGAACCTTATAATGAAAAAATACTAATTTATCGCTGAAAATTGCTTTATTGTTTCTTGAAGTATTCTCTTTTATGATTAACACACTTTTGTATGCATTCGAACGACTTGTCAAAGCATTATTATTTTATTACTACTGTTAGGTGATGTGACACTGAGACCGTCGGGGCAATTGTGCCTATTGTCCCTTCTGAGTTTAGAGTAGGTCCCTTAGCCAATAAAAAGTAGTATAGAACCTACTTTACAGAGTTTTATTGCTTCGTCCATAAGAATGTACAATCTCAGGAGCTTATTTCGTATGTCCATTAACGCTGAGCATTCTAATAACAGAATCTACGGTTTGCATCCGTTAGTATACCCAGTCTTGTAAGGTGGTGTTTTAATTTACAGTGCTCTATTAGGATTCCAATTATGATTCTAAATTTTTCTTTTGGTAGATTTATACAATTCTGGTATCTCTTATTGTTATATTGTTATATAAGTGATTTTGATTGTTTTAATCCTGGTATATTATCCCAGTAATCCTTTTTATTTTGGTTCTCCGTTATTTTTATTAAAGAAAGGAGTGTACAATGTCCCAGTCCACAAGAAGGTTCCGACCCTATCATTTATCGACAAATATGGAAGTAAGTTGGTCATGCACTCTTGTCTTGATTATCTACGTCGAAAGTCAATTCGATTTCTTCGCGAACACTCAATTTACAAATTACTATAAGGCCGTGTGCGAGTAAATTGAAGTAAACTAAATTGAAATTTCCTAAAATTTTTTTTACTGCACTTATGTAAATATTTATTTATTGCATTTATTTCACTTATTTATTATTTTTGGTTAAAAGTTTCGAAATTTATTTATTTATTTAACATCTTATAAAATTTTCACAATGGCAACACCAAATTTACCTAATTTTTTTCTAATTTACCTTAAATTCTGGTAAATACCACCATTCGCTGCCATACCGACATAATTTACTATTTCCCTCAATTTACCATCAATTTACTCGAACTCGCACACGGCCTTAGTAATACAAATGACAATTTTTTGACAAAAAGTCTAAGGGAGCTTATGTCAACCTTTCGTATTAAAATGTCAGATGACACCTGACAATAATCAGTGTTGCCAAGGTTCAAAATATAAATAGTGACCCTCGTATTTTGCAATAGTTTTTTTGTTAAGTATAAAAAGAGAACTGTATTATAATTATTATTAATTTTTTTAAGACCATAATTTATTATGAATATAGTATGCATGAAAGTATTAAACCAGCCCTTTGGTGCTTTACAAATGCAATTATTTTTAATAAACTCAGTGAGCTCATTTATTGTCGGTCACACGGTGAAGTCAATAATTATATGTAAATAAAAAACTAAATTTCAACAATTAAACTTGTTTTCAATCTATAAATCTATAGTTATATTTGTAAATCAAAAGGAAAAAAAAAAAGTTATTTATTATTTTGAAATATGCTTTTCTTACAAGTGTTTCCTTTGAACACTAATAATGTCTTGTCATGCATTTCTATAACAATTTTTCTTCGTAAGCAATAAAAAAGCATTAATTTATACAAACAACTTATTTTAATCATACTTAAAAAAAATTTTTTTTTCAAAACAAATTAATTTTTTTTTATTTATAAAAAATAGTTTAAAAATAAACACGCTGCTTGCACAGCATGCAACCATTGTGATTTTATTCGTTGAAATGCACAATAAACTGAAAAATATTCACAATGAGCATTGCCGCCTTTATTGTTAATTTTTTTTTCCTCATCTACTATTTATAAACTTTTTTTACAAATTATCTTTTCAATGAAATCAAAAACATTTCGTATAAAAGTTGAGGTTAAAATGTTGCTAAATAATTGTTTATCGTCATTGTTTTATATTGTTTATTTTAAATTACATTAAATCAAAGAAAAAGTTTACAATAACAATGATACGAGCTGCCATCGTGAACACATTTTCACATTTCCATTATTTTGATTTATTTATTGTTAAATTCTTTTTTTATTTGTACTATACATTTATTTATATAGTGTTTTGTTTTGTTTGAAATTGGTTTTTGTAATTATTATATATTGTTTAAT